CGCCAACACCGGGGAGCCAGACGACCGAGCAATCATCACGCCCGAGCTCACCATCCATGATGAAAGTTTAACAGGTCAGAGCTCGCGTGCCGTCCAACAAGCAATCAACGCCCAAGAAGGCAATTAATGTTAAGTGTCGCTGTATGCTTGCAGTAATAACTGTGTCCTATAAATACTGCAAACTTCTGTGCATACTTAACCTTTTCCTGCTCCCATGCCTCTGATGACGAATCCGCGACGGATATCGAAACGTAAGGCGAATAAACATATTGTCCCAGCGATCGAGTCTTCTTCTTCTCAATTGCTTCCTTGGACACGGATGTTCGCTAATATTGGCCATATGTTTTCCCCTCGCATGGATAAATTTAGGATAATTTATTTTAGTTGCTCAAGTTTGAAAAAGCATTCCGGGCTTAGAGTCATAGATCGTTTTTGCAGGGCTAATGAAAGCTGCAAAACAATTAAAGTTTGAACACGTGGAAAAATCAATACGCTCTGACATGGGCGCCGATTGGCTACTGCAGACTCTCAGTCTCCGCATGTAGGCGACAACAGCTTTCATTATCCCTGCAAATGTTTGGCCTGATAAAGAGTTGCTGAAAAGATAACTTTTGCTCACCGAAATGTGGTTCTTTGTCTGCTGACGTTTCCGACAGCTGGGCCGGAGCAGGATTAACAGCATCCTCTACCGTAGGAACGGAAGGCAACGCTAATTGTCCCCAAGTTATGCCAAAATCAACGCGCAGAGCCAAGCAGCGAGCGTAGAAAAATCGATAAGCCCATGGCCAAAACGTACAGTCACAACTTTGAATTGCTGATCGATAAAGTCAGTTCTCGCTTCGACAGAGGACAGCCGGCCCAGCTGTCCCAAACGTCAGCAGACGAAGAACCACATTCGTGATCTATGATTATTGTATGTGGTTTATTTAACTTATTTATACTTAAGTTCAGATTTCAGTTAATTATTATGTTTACTATTTTCGATAAGGTTATTTAGTTTAGTTTGCTGAGTTAAGTTTGCATTAGTTTGCGTCTTCTAGTTA